ATGTTCATTAATATTGCTTTGTTTAGTTAAAAAACTACACCTGATTTGAAAATGTTTTTTAAATGTGTAAATTTCATTTCAGATTGTAACCTCCATGCTCCAAGGTTTATTGTTTAATTGCAGTACAGGTCAAGACAAACTCTAGTACAGCCAAGAGAAAAGGCCTATTACATTTTGAGTTCTTCTCTGATATCTAGCAATAGATCAGCACAAATTAGAACAATATTTGTAAAACCAGATATATTCTTAGAGACAAACTGCAAGAGTTCACAATCACAGCAACCTCAATAGTAGCAATTCCAGAATGAAAAATGGAGATCTGAAATGTATAACAATGTATAAATGCAACTGCTGTTCCACAGTCTGCAGTAGTCATCATTTTGTAATTTCAATATGTGTGAAGTACCTACCATGACAGTGTCTTAGGCACACTTCTCAAACTTTCTAGACTAAATTTTACATAGATTGCAACATAAAGCACTTAAAATTTAAGAAAAGCTAGTTTTAGGCTGATGTTTTAAATGTCAGTCTCTTTATGCTTTCCAACCTATACAGTGTAACAGCATGAAAATAACAGGTTATTGTAATTGTACACCATGTCATAATGCATTCACTTGAAATGGCAAAATTAGATTTACTTCCATAGGAAGAATAAAGTATTTGATTTTAGAAGCTTGTATTTATCAAGAACAGATTATCTGAAGGCTTTTAGCAAATCGACCTTTTTTTTTTTTAGCTAGCAAAATGTTAGCACATTTTCCACAGAGTTTTCCACACTTACAACTCTGGCACTGGTGGTAGTAATGGAAGTGATGTTAGAAGGAGGGTTCAAGACATTGAGGCTCAAATTGCTGTCATTACTGCGGGAAAATGCTACATCTAGTTATAGACTCTCAAACAATCCATTTAGCCTGATTAATTTTGATGAACCATTAAGATTCAAATACTGTACCTAAGTAGGATTTTCTGGAAATAGACTACATAAATTTTTAATGCGACTTGAAACTCACACTGTTCAAATGTAGTCCTCTATACCACACTTGTTTTTAAATTGAATTATGTAGTATTTTGTGGCATTTAATAAATTTAATGATGAGAAGAGAGAATTTTTTACAGGTGTGTTTTAGAAGAACTACGAGCATGCTGAGAACTGAGGACAACTCTTCTAAGCTTATATTCACAGTGACCTGAGTTATCTCAATTTCAGAATGAAAATAAGCTAAAGCATTTAACTCAGGTTTCCATTTCCTATTCTAGAAAGTAAATTGTTTGAATATGAATAAAACTTCTTCCTCTTGTAGTAATAAATTGTCTTGCCATTATTCAAAGGGTCTTTTACAGATAAAGAGCTACACATCACCAAACACTGGGAGTATTCTCTTATTGTAGTTCATGCTTACTTCTTATAATAATACTAACTATGTATCTGGCAAATGTAATCCCAAGGAATTTGAATTTACTTTCTAAAATATGCAATTCCCACATGCAGCCACTGGATGGACTTATAGAGCTAGTGAATATTTTTGATTGTAGACAAGACACACAATTAGGTGAGCAATTCAGAAGATGTTTCCCTTCTGGGCAGCAAAAAAAATTTCATTAGAAAAGGCCTGAGCCTACAAAACAAGATACAAGAAGGGCTTTTAGTCCCTTCTCTTCTAGTGGTCTATATTTTTCAACACCACTAGTTTAAGAAATACTAGGCTGTGGAAATGAAAGAGTGATAGGAAAACTTTATTGTAAGAGAACATGTAAGCCAATTCTAAATATTACTTGGTACTTGGATTACTTGGTACTAAAGTTCTAGGATAAAGGCACTAAAAATTGTACTGAAAAGAAACAGTTTGGAAACAGAAGGAAATCAGAATTATTTTAAATTCAGTCCAATTTTTTGGAAGTACACTACTTCAAAATATTCATACTCTTTGAGAATGATTTTGGGAAATGTTTGCTTTAGACATTTAACTTTTAGACATTTCACTTTTTTTTCCAGAATAGGAATCATATGAAAATTTGGATTTTACTGCATAGCATATGAAAAACAAGGCTTGCATTAAATCATGTATAGGTGTGATTCTACACCTTTCTGCACTTGTGTAGCTAAGTGTAGTAGGTATCTGTTGTGGCAGAAAAACTCACTAAATCTACCTAACTCCTTCAAGTAAGCAGCGTCATTGGGGAAGAACAAAGTTAAGCTGAGGAATGAAAGCATAGCAAAAAAAGAGCTCTTGCATAAATCTCTCTGTACCTGCTGTTCTAAAGCTAAGGCAGTGACAGACACTGACAAGGCCCCATCACTCCCTTGACAGTATGTTCCAGTTGTAGGCTATAAGTATGACTAACTGTTTTATCTCTTTATTCCACAGTCATCCCCTCTGTTCTGTCCCAAATTGTTCAGAATGGCACCAAACATAACTTCATGCTTGAATTTCTTTTGTCTTTATACTGTTAAGTACAAACTACTGTTATATGTAGACTTTCTGTAGAGAATGAATATCCTCTGACTACTGCATGGGATGATCTTGCTGAGTGTATTGTTATAGCCAGGATGAATGAGATACAGCTTTACAAAGCGTGCGAGCAGGAAAGAAAGACTGTATCTGGTTCTGGTTCAGTGCTACTATCTACTGCTTTCAGCCCTCTTCTGGAACAAAATGTCAAAGGAGACTACAAACATCTCAGCTACCAACCTATATCGATCCTATTCAACTTCTTGACCCTGAGAACAGTAGCTCTGTAGGTAAAAGGAAAGCTGCAGGAAAAAAAAATCATTCTCGATCTCCCTAGTATTTTGCTGCTTCCCACCATATTCTTTAAATTCATCATTTTAAAAAAAGCAAATCAAGTCTGATGCAGGGCCCAGAACACACTAACTGAGCAGCCACATTCAAAGTTGTACATGTTCTTTAACGCCATCCTAAATCATGAGGTGACGTCCATGAATTAATTGCCTGTGGTGATAGGACATGGAATAAGACCTCTTAAAATTAAAATAATTATAGTGCCCATCATTGGATACTATTTGGAAAAGAATGCAATATTCCTCTAGCATGCCAGGTCTTCTGAATGCCATACGCTGTCCTGATCTCAGATGGAATAACATCTGGAATAAAAACCTTGCGGTCAGTAATGGAGATTGCATCCTCTTTTCTCTCCCTCCCTACCTCTCTGACAATTACAGACAATGATCTGCAGGAATGAAGCCAGGCTACAGGAATGCTGAATGACTGAATCACGGTCTTGGAATGGGACTGGCAACTGTAGAGTCTGCCTGATATATACAATTGCCTAAAAGAAAAATTGTGACAAACTAGGTTCTCTTTTACTTCTCTCTATACAATAGTATTTTCTTCTTCACGTTTCCCTAATACATCCAGTGTCACATCAAATGTGTGTGCCTCCCTGCTAAAAATCTCTTGGAAAACTTTACACCCCAGCCAAAAATGCTTCCTGCAAAGCCCCTGAGCATGACTTGCTATTCTTGGCTTGTTCTGCCCTCCTTTAATTTCTTGACCTTGTTCTGGAACTAGGTGTTGGTCTGCTTTTAATCATGCCAGACTAACCAAACAGCAATCTTCTCATACCAGTGCTGATTTAGAAAGCCTCTGCAAAGCTGTTGCTTTGGGAATCTTCAAGCATACATAGATTAGGTCACACACTTCCTTCCAGGGTAGTTGGCATCATGAGTTGCCAGCTCCAAAGTGGGACAATAAGCTGGGTGAGGCAACATCCTAACATTATAGAAGCCAATGCTAATGGAGTCTGTGGAATTACTTATACCACTAATCTAACCACCCACATAAGCAAATCAAGTGAATCATCTACCTTACTGGTCTACCAAGTTTAGACACACGTGATACTAGATATCACATGAATTAGATTTTTAAAGTGCGTCTAAATTACATACTACAATTCAAGTTACTTAAAAACACATGCTAAGTTTAGGAGTGGTCCTCCTTCAGGTAGAATATTTAGGTAATCTATTGTTCTGGATGAACCACTGAGGAAGAAGCTGTTGATTCCTATGAATAGTATATTAGTTGAAAGTTCTCAAACCAAGGAATTGAAGCATAATTTCATTAGTCTGTCACTATGCCAAAATTTTCAATCTCCTCTGGTTGGGAAATATGAAATAAATATTTATAATAATAAATAAATATATTTTAATGAAATATCTGTCAGGCAATTGTTTTCTAGAAGTAACAATAACAAAGCTGATTCAAAACTCCTCATCTTTCATACTCACAGGTCGTTCAAAGATCGTTCAATAAATTGCTGTATTTGCATTGGATGCACTACTCAAATCATTCAAACTAGTAACGTGCTCTAGTTACTATGCACCTGAGAGTGTAAGGTTAAATCTGTCCTATTACAGCCAAATGACAAATATCAGAAGAAATGCTGCCAAAACTGAGGATTTTGTCTGTGTTGAGGCCTGTGAATTCCCATGTGCTCTGTGCAATGCCACTGTGCATATATTAAGTCACAGTACAGGCTAAGAACAGCTTGGAAAACTGCAAGTGTGGGTGACATATGACATATAATATGAATTCCCCTCATTTAATTAACATCATCTATTTTCTTTGACACATAAAAGTTCTAGTAGTCAAGTCTTGTAATTCATAACTTTATGGCTTTAACTTTTTTGGGGGGACATTTACGTCTGCCACACTAAAGAAGTAACAAGATTACAGTACCTGTATTGCTCAACTCCAACACTTGAAAAGTCTAAACCTCGTGTCAAATTATTTTCTGCTTATCTAGAGTGCTTGCACATACTCATGCTGACATTTCAGTGTTTATTTCAGATTAGCTTTTTAAAGGCACAAAGATTATCAGTGTATGTTTCCATGTGCTCTGTAACTTATTTCTACCGAATTTAGGGTTAAACTCTGACACTGTACACATAGCCTTTGCTCACTGGAAGCAAACACAAATATCCATGCAAATACAAAGGAAGAAAGAATTTGAAAGTAAAAATAGTAATTTGCAATTCCAAAACAACAGCTGAAAAAAATGATAAATTTTCTGTCTAAGAGGAGATCTCTGTTTATGCATAATCAAATTCCAAAGTCAGAAGTTGGCAACAACACACTTCTCTCCCCACTAATACAGGGGTATCCAGAGCTGATCGATGAAGCTCAAAGGCAAGCTCAATGGAGCAAGTCCTAATCCAGAGGTAACACTATCCTTGTTTTGTTCATTTTCTGTGCTTTAAAACTCCTTGTACTCCTTGCTGCTTTAGAATGAGATATGTCTGTTTTATGTCAGCTCTTAACTTTGGAAAATGAGATGTGAAGACGTTATGTAGTGTACTTTTACTCAGAAATGCAAGTCTCTCACTGCTCGCTAATGTGCAGACTGCGTGCCACAAACCCACCCTCTCCAGAAATCCAACGCAAGTGGGGGAATAGATTCCTTCAAAAGGAGTGGGGGTGAACAATGTAGGGTAGTAATTTTAAATGTCAATATGCATCAGTGTGTACTGAAATTGATTTTATCTACCTCATCCGTGATTCAGAACCTCTAGATGATCTCAGAACATTACAGTGATGAATGATGCTGAAAATCAAGGGAATAACCTTTATATCCACGCTTGAGTTATTTGTGTTAAGAGCTTGCTCATGAGCAAAGATCAGTGGAAATACATGCCACAATTACAAAGCATTGTCAATGGGAAAGGAATATACAGTCTATATCACAAAACTCATAGTACACACAGAACAGAGCAGCATATTACAATCTTTTTCATAATGTGTTCTTCTTGAATTAAAGAGTTTCCAAATAATGCAGTATTATGCATGAATTACTTAGCTTAACTTGAGTGGCAATATCATTTTATGTAAAAATAGAAAAACGCTTCTCAAAATAAATACCTAAGGATTATAACTGTGATTTCACAATCAGCTTAGGCCAATCTGTTTGCACAGTTGTGGAAAACAGCTATTCTGTTCTCTCCTCCATCTCTGGCTGTAAGTTTATGCTTTTCCCTTGCCTGGGCTCTCTGCCATAAAACAACACTATTCCCTCAACACAGCTACCTTACATTAGGCCAGCTTAGAGAACACTGCAGCAAACTCGGTGATGAGTGGTATAGAGGCCTTAGGTGGCATTAAGGTGAGATATTAATGAGGTTTGAGTGACACAGGAATCCAAAGATCTGTTTTCATACTTAAGCTCTTGATACAGTGGATGCCTGCATACAAAAGACATGAAATCCAAAACAACTAAAGAACTGATCAAGAAGCTGCTTGAAGATACCATCTTAGCCAGTACTTACCTAGAGTGGATCGAAAGGGCAGAGTCAGTGTATGGTTACTAGTGCTCTGTTCCATCTACTTAGGTGCCACCACACAGAAATTCTATTATAGTAACAACTCCAATTCATAGCCGTTGGTCTGAGCTGGGAAATCTAGGCCAATTTCTTTTTTGGCCGAGAACAGTGACAAACAAATCTCTCTAATGTGTGCTCTGATCACATTTTGTTGTTGGATAAAGGGTGCAGTAAAGGAACTGGCCAGGCATTTGTGATACTTGATTTTGTACAACTTGTAGAGAAAAGGGGATGTTAGGTGCACTGGGAAAGACAGGAAACATGTCACTAAATCTTCAGCATAAAAAAAAAACCAATACATAGAATCACAGAATATCCTGAGTTGGAAGGAACCCTTGAGCACCAACTCCAACACCTGATGCTGCAAAGGACCACCTAAAAATCAAGCCATATGTCTGAGAGCATCTAAATAAGAAGATGACAAATTGTAGTTCTAGAAGTAAATACAGGGGGAAAAAAGATTTAACATTCTTACATGTGAGATGTTAATTACTGTCAATTAAAAACAAAACATCGACAACCCAAGCCACAGACTTGTCTTACAAAATTTTAAGGGTGATCTTTTTTCATGCATCCAGATTGAGGCTGCATTTGTCCCACATTAATTTACTTTTTCAAGCCTTCAGTTTCTACAGTAAGATAGTACCCATAGAGAAGTCGCTATTCCCATCTACGCAAAGTTACGTGAATAATGATGAGCAATGACAGGTATATCTAAAGCGTAGCTTATGTGGCTGTAACTTCATCAACTCAGCCAGAATGTCTCCAGAATAAGTAGTGGAGATGCATACCACAGCAACATCCATCAGGCTTTTTTGAAAAAGTATAGATATTTCACCGTTCTTACTTTCGGAGTCTTCCTTCCTTGATTGTATAAATCTGTGATGAGACTATACAACGATTTTCTATATCATTCACAGAACTTTGATCCTCATCCTTCAAACAAGCTAAAGTAATCTGAAGTAGTCTTCAGATTGGACCGTCCTGATAGACCGGCACAACAGCTGCTCTTTACCTAGGAATGTTTTCATGAGTTGCCAGTCAGGTCATCCAAACTCTCAGTTCAAAGAGCAGCAGAATCAGCTACCATGTTCTCACATTTCCATAGCAGTTCTTACATCAACACAGATCATCTCACTTGATTGAATTCCCAAGTGCAAATCAATAGAAGGGATACAAAAGAAGAACAATTCTAGCCACAATCTCTGTTGATCACTTGATTATTACCGCAAAGATAATCATAAAAACTGCCTGTTCTAGTTAAAAACTGCATTCGGTAACAGAGATTTGTTTATTTTTGTTTTGGAGAATGTATGTAAATCAGTTGCAATGTTATTTCTAATTCACTTTCACAACAAAGGGTAAGAATATATTTATTCAAGGAGACTAGGTTATATCACATCCTCTTGGAAGCTGATAAAAAAGGAACTGCAGGTGTCATAATAAGGGAACACTTGTATTCCTGGCTGTAAAATGTCTGGAATTTAGTCAGATTTGAACTTTGCAGTTTGTGTACCTGCATAAGTTCACAGTTCTCTATTCTCTGGACAGACCAAGACAACATAGCAAGTTCCCCTTTGCATTTAGAAAAGGAACTGAACCATAGAGTCACAGAATCACAGAATCAGAAATACAGAATGTCTTGGTTGGAAGGGACCTGAAGGATGACCAAGGTCCAACCTCTCTGCCACAGGCAAGGTTGCCAGCCACTAGATCAGGTTGCCCAAGGCCTCATCCAATTCCCCCTTGTCCTACTGCTATCTACCTGTATAAAAAGTTGATTTCCCTCATGTTTATAAACTCCAAAAAACACAGATTTCCTACTTACTACTATTTGGGGATGAAGAGCTTGGCACTCTGCATTTGATCAGTGATCACGGTCATAAACATGCAACAAGACAAATGCCATTCTGCTGTATACTTGTGTATTTCTGTGTACTTTCAGAATGATATTAAATTTAGGCTTACAGCCAGCCCACTGGGATGGGAGGAGAAAGACAGGAAGCAGCACCTATGCTGCTCATTAGCAGCTATGGTGAAAATAAAAGGCAGGAGACCAGAACAAGTTGCCTGCTGTATCTGAAAGACATGGTAGGGATCTAAATCTGAACAGGACACAGAGACTGCTGAGGGTGGTGACATTAATGGCTGGTGGCTGGGAAGTGCTATAGCATCCTATAGAACAGCTGAGAAGATATTAGATACTGCGGTATCTTAGAACAAAAAGGAGTGTTTTCTAAAACAACCTGTTTTACCTGGACAGGAAGTAAAGGGAACTGTTTTCCTCTGAACCTGCTCTTCTTAAAAGGACCTTATGCAGTTTGTTCTCTTATAACTCTGGTAGACTTAAGAATACAGAAAGAAATAGATATTATCAGCCACACATGGGACTCCTGCACTTAAGAAAACTGCAATTTCCTACAGTTCAGCAAAGAATATAGAGAATTCATCTGAGATGTGAGGTTTTATGACTCTGTTAGCAAATATCTAAGTAGCACCAAAGACTCACACTACAAAAGAGTTGGAATGGAAGTACTCTCAAATGATTGTAGGAGCAGCAGAAGAAAGGAACACGGGTACAAATTATGAAAAATGCAGCTATAAAAATGCACAGAGAGACTGTCAAATCAGCAGAAAATTATTGCCCTCCCCACCTCATTTTGTACAGAGGGAGATCTAGAACTTACATATCTATGGTGATGTCTCCAAATGGGCTTCTTAAAATTACTTATGTCTCTAGTAGTGGAAACAGAACTCCTGATTTTTCATAGGCAATGATCTTAGAAATGTGCTTGCAGTGAACAACCATCTTCTAAGAAATATAAAGAAGCTTTTATGAAACAAAGAGCAGAATGTGAAGCTCCCAGAGAGGAAATTATTTAAAAACATAGTTTTTAATCAATACTAGGATCCTACTTGAAGGAACACAACTTTTTGAAAATAATAGATCAAATTTTCTTGTTTAATAATTCTTTTCCTTAAGATTTTTTTTCTTTTCTTCACATGTGTGCAGCCTTTAATTAGACTGTTCAGGCATAAGCAGTATTAGCTACTCTGTCACAATTACCCACATTTTGTAGCTAATTAATCCTTGAATAGTCTTAAGGCTACCAGCAATTTTAGTCCAAACGGCAGCCTGAGGCCCCTAGGAACTGTTCCAGCAACTAAGAATAGCTGGAACAGAGAGTCGGGCCAGCCGTGACCCTTTCTCCTCAGCCACAGCCTAACACATATCTACTGCGCCAAAGGCAAGAGCAACACAGAGATGAAAACACTCCTGAGTGGCTAAATGTGCTCTCTTTACGGCCTTTTAAAACTAATGGAGTAGCATAAAGAGGCTATGGGGAAATGGAAAATAGGACCTTCTAAATGTTAAAGCATTGGCAGGACTACTAATGATTTTTCAGTTTTGCAATGTTCCATTAAAACAATAGTAAAAACACAGCTTCTAACACAAGACTTTTATTCACTGATGCCTCATATTGCAGTCATTTTTGCCGCAGTGTGAGTGTCAAATGTGCATAAAATGCTGTGACTCGGCAATATTTCATGTGTATTTTACACAGATATAAGTAACTTCACAGGGGACACACAGGGACAGCAGTGAAGCATAAAGACCTGTGACAAGTAATTTGGGCCATACGCTTGTGGCAAACTAAAATTAACATAAAAATTAAAATTAGAACTTCAGCTTCAAACACACTGTTAGTTCAGATTTTATTCCATAACTTCACCAAACAGTACTGTATTTGCAGAGAATGGGGAATTCCTTTTTAAAACCTTGTGAAGGTTATGAATGATCCTTTTCTAAGCAGTTACGTTTAGCCCTTCTGTTTTTGTTAACCACTTCAATTTACAAGAGTTTTCACAGAAAAAAAGAAGTTTCTCATCAGATTCTCAAAGGGAACTGACTTCTTGCACGGCATGACCATTTGATTTGGTGCAAAAGAAGAGGTGACTGCACCTGATGCAAGTCTGAGGAAAGAGCAGAACTGGCCATATCCACTGCTCGCTGTTAGTCTGAATTAGGCAAGTGGTAAAACTGCAACCCTTTCAAAACTATTCTGGAAACTACTTTCCATTGAACTGTGAAGAACAAAAGAATTGGCAGAAAATGTTGCAAGATTATTAGCCTTCAAGTTAGTAGGCATCGACTGTGCAGTTAGCAACTGCATTCTTTTACTTTAATCTTTAGTTTATCAGCACTGATGAGCAAAGCAATACAAACGTACCCACAGATGTGTCAGCATTGCTGAGGCTGACTGTGACATAGACACTGGACTCTGAGCAACAGTAATAGCTCAGCTCAGCTGTCAGCAGCAACAAGCCACACGTGAAGGCATGCTGCCTCTGGCAACAATACTGACTGAAGTTACTTCCAGCAACATTTCCCTCCTTCCTGCCTGTCCTGTTCCCTTGACAACCACATTAATTTATCAACAAAACTGGTTTTTAGGCTGCAGTATGAATTGGGCTCAGGGCACTAAACAGGTATTAAAGAAAAACACTGCAAGAAGATGTTGTTGGGCAGTTTAAACTGAATTAGTCTCCTGATTCAGTTCACGAACATCCACATAAATATCTGTGTTGGCACAGCTGAAAGGGTGTCAAGAACAAGCAGCTGGCAGTTGAGGTGAGACGTGGGAACGCCTTAAAACAGGCTGCTGCTGGGAAAACAGCACATGAAACAATACATTCACTGTATCCGTCTTGGCACAGCATTCCCACATGCGTTGGCCACTTCCAGAGCCAGAGCCCATGACTTTATTTACTGCCATTACATGAAGCACCAGTAATCTTTTACCAGTCTTTTTGATCAAAGTTGCCTTTCCTTCTGGGAAGAGACTGGGAATTGGATAACAACTGAATGCTCTTAGTACATGACTGCAATTTACTAGCCAAAGGGAAAACAAAAGAAAACCACATCTAATTTGGGTTCCACAGAAGTACAGGCGCAAACCTCGATCCCTCTGACTGGTATCATTAAGATAATCCCCATCCCAGTACTTCAGTGTCAGCTATGCTAAGTCCATATTTAAAGCACTGCACAAAATTCACCCAGGGCGTAAGAGCTGCAACATTTCCCAAAATAACTCCAGTGTTCTGACTCTCAATTTCCTGCCCTTTGTGTTCCCTTAGCCTCAGAGTCCAAGACTAGAAGAGGCAAAATTGCTTCCTGCAATGGTCCTGCTCATAGCTCAGATACTAGGATAGACATATTGTAGGACAGACATTGAGGAAAAAATAGTATAACAAGATAGCCATACACTAGGGCAAGTTACCTAAAATACCTTTTTCCACCTCTTCTTTTAAATTTGAAAAGGTAGGCCTGATACTGCTAATAGTTGGGGCAGAATAATGAAGCAAATGGGGGCTAGTTTTCCACACTAGGTATGTTGTCACCCTTGATACTGCTTATAACATTCCAAAGCCAACGTGAAGCCTGCGACTGGGAAGACAAAGCTATAACTACGTGCAATTCAAAAATCATTCAGAGGGCTAAAGCTTTGGCATAGGTATTAGGCCCTGATGTATGTTAACAAAAAATGAAGCTAAAAAAAAAAAATTTAAATGCTTGTTTACAGGAACATTTATTATATTGGTTTTCCATAAGGCTGTAAGGTTGTAGAGACCTACTCAAGAAATTAGAAGATAGTTTTGCCTTGCAGTACGAGAGCCTAAGCATCTTTTTTTTATTTAGGGGGACTTCTTTTCCTATCATCTGTGAGAAAATCTTAAGTTGGGGTTCCACTTGCCACTGCTTTGCAATGAGATTTAAGTGCACTGGGAGTTAACAGCATAACAATTACAATAATTACATATAATTATAAGTTATCCTGTGTAAAAGATTTCTGTGTTTTGCCTTACTGGTGCAATATAGCTTATTTTAAAAGACATGTATGTTTAAAAATAGTTTAGAAAGGGTTTTGACATTAAAAAAATGCATTAGTAAGGTTTTATAGACATTACTTTTTAATGATGAATTATACCTTTTGTGAACGAGATGCTCTTACTCAGACACATTTTGATGACAGCATGCTCTCTGGAGGCTGGTATGACTGGCATGGCAGCACAGAGAGCAGTGGCAAGCAGTTAAGGGCAGTGGTTCTTAATAGACTCTCAGCAGCTTAATGCCAAGACTTATCACTGATGGAAGACTGGCTGGCAATCAAGATCATAGCATCATGGAATCAAAGAATGGCTTGGGTTGGAAGGGACCTCAAAGATCATCAAGCTCCAACCCACCAACCTCCATATCTAATACCAGACCAGGCTGCCCAGGGCAGACGCTGAGAATGTAAGCAAGAAGGAATAATACAGGACTACATCTGCATTTGAGAGATCAGGGCTCTGTGTACCAAAGATCACTTGGATACTTGGTTATACACGCTTTCTTCAGACACATCACACTTGCTATCCTTTTCCATGCTGTCTAGCAGTTTAATAAACCCAATCATTTAAGGGAATCAGATCCATCAGGCCAACTATACTCAGTATTTTTCAGTCTTTAGGATTTGTGATTTCCTCTGAGTCTTTAAGCATCCAAAGCTACTTAGGAAAACGTGTCTGTAGCATCTGTGGCTCAGTAGCTCTACCCTCTCAGTCCCAGGTGCACTGTAATCATTGGCAGGATAGCTGTTGTTTCTTCTGCAGGTAAAGTCAAATGACAAATGACATTACTGACTATCTACATACACAGCAAAAAGCTATGTATCATCAAAAGTTTGTGTATTTCAACAAATTTCTCTTGGAAGAGTTTTCTATTAATGCTTTAACAAAGCATCTCTTTCCAGAAAATTCAGTGCTGCGGCACATTTTACATTACCTTCTCCTGCATACTTAGCACTTGCATATAATGTAATACGACTGCAGTACCATAGCACTAGTAGTACAGATTACATCTAAATGGTCATAAGCCCAAGCATGTGTCTTGAGTACATTACGTGAGTGCTTTGTAAGAACTGAATAGTGATATGCAGTCAACAGTCTGTCATTCCTCCACAGAAAACTATCAAAAATACCAATCTCCCAGTACAATCTGGTGTCATTCTGAGAACAAATACAAACTTTTAAGAGGTGATAGTGGTAGCAGAAACAGTAGGAGGAAACTGCTAAAGACACATTTCAGCCCTGACAAGAATAGTTTTTTCCAAGTTCACTACAATTTTTCAAGAGAAATGGAAAGACTCCTCAATTCGCAACTTTTGAATATTCCAAAAGTGCTGTATTAACACTATCTTACATTATCCATAGCTCTACAAACTCTCAACTAAGATCTGCATAATAAGAATTGTTGCTAAATTTAGAGCACTGTTTACACGAGACAGGCATGTTACTTATTATAATTCCAATTTTTGGAAGTCTTGTATATGTAGAAGTTTTATTACCATAATTCTGTCAGTTAGGAGAACATTTTCATTGACATATACCAGCACAATTAGTATAGATGCAGTTGTACTAGAACAAAGCTGACTTACAGCCTACAATACATACCGTACTTCACAGAAGTATTTCTGCATTTGCATAATTTCATCTACCTTACAGTATTCAAATTATTCTCCGGAATGGAGGTACAGGTAGGCTTTTACCTTGAGTTTGCCAGGAACAATTATTTCTTCAGTTTATCCTACATGACCACTCACTTCTGTCAGGTTTGCTATAAACTTTCAGCTCCATCTGTTTCCATAAACTAGACAGATTAGAGACAAAAAAAAAAAATAAAAAGAAAGATCAGAGACAATATCAGTTGTCATAACCTTTATTATTCTTCAGTTAAATCAGTTCTATGGGCTCATCCATTATACATCCCTCAAAAATTGTTGTGCTTGCCCAGCAGAGACTGAACTGCAGGTATAAAAATGAGTAGCCAAGGTTGTTTAAACTATGTTAAGCAGAACTGGCATTGAATGTTGAATTGCAGTTGATTACAGCCCAGAGTCAGAGACAGACAACACTTCAGTGACAGTAAACTCATACATCCTAATGGAAATAATGACAATTAGCAAAACTCCAATGAAATCTTGAACAATCTCAGCCAATTTTATATCAAATATACCAATATCTGTATACACTGATGGGTTCAACCCTTAGATTTAGGAAAACTCAAAAATTATCCATTTCACCCTCTAGTATTCTTGTTTACTATCTTTACCTCCAGTAACTTCTGTCATGACAATTCATCTTCAAGATGAAATGCCAAAGACACGACACAGCAGCTGCATATTTAAAAGAAGAAACATGGAGGGATGCACAAAATAAAATCTTCCTCTTTTACAGTATGAGCCTGAACCTAAACCTTTAATTTCAAGAATTATATTTCTAATTATCATTATGAATTAATGTTTCCCATCTCATTGTTTACATTAATACGTAAGTACACTTGGGATTTCTGCGTACATCATATTCTAACGTATTTTTGTATGTGCCTAAGGTATAAAATGCTGTTTGAATTTGTGACTTCCATTCTTTTTCCTCTGAGGAAAATATATGTCAGCCTTTCTACAGTTAATCAGATGTAGACATGCACAGACTTGAAAAAGATTTGTCTAAGGACTTGTTAGGGTTTACTACACGTTAGTACGGTAAGTATCCTGTGAGATAGTAAATACCTTGAAGAAATAATTTCATCCCAGGTGAGTTCATATCAGATGAGATACTGTCTGTTTGTACTATTCTACTATTGTGCGTAGTAAGCAGGCATATTTCCTGCTTAGCTGACAGAAAGCTGGCATAAAATCTAAAAAAACACTGTAACATATGCTCAGGCTGATTTGATAGAAATGCAGTCATGTATACACACCAACACAGATCAAATTTTTACTGCCAGAAAATCCAGCATGCATGGACTTGATATTACTTGATAAAGAACCACAGGCATATAGTGCTTCATATTTTCTGTGTGTTTTTACTTACTTTAAGATGAGCATGAATAAAGCGTACAAGTCTGTTTGAAATCTCCTGACCAAATACTTGTGTGAAGTGACCCTACTATAGTATAATGATCCTTCCAGTAAGGATAAGCATGATCTCCACACAGCATGAATGCCTCTTATATAACATCCGTATACATGATTTTGAACATTCATGGTCTAAACAAAGAGCAAAAGAGGCTGTAATGCCCTTCAGTAAAAAAGATGCTAGACTGGCAGCGTAACTGCACACTTGGAGCTACGCTCACGTATAATGTAGAAATTTTTGTGTCACTTTTCACCTCCTTACAGCCACTGATAGCACTGGAACAGAGAAAATCTCTAAACTTCTATTGGAAACAGTTCTGTGCAAACTTTATCCTGTGCCTGAACTCTCACATACACCTCACACTGTCTGCACAGCTCAATCCTTTTCAGCCCATATTACTAGAAGTAATTGTTGCTGTTACCACTGGAGCAAAATTTAGTCTCTACAGAATACTTCTGCATGACTGCTTTGAACACAGATGTTAACAGGAAATTGTCTTGAAGACAAGTTAACTCTTTTTTACATTTTACAGGCTATTTCTGGGTAATGTCCCTCCAGCTTCTCATTCTAAAAGCCTTTTAAATTATAATACTGCATTAATTGTTTGGAAGATGGTTTTTCCATTTCATTTCGGCAAAGCTCTGGACAACACTCAAAATGCAAAGAAGGGAGGGCTCAAAGAGAGAAAATACAGATACATACACAGCAAGCCTGTTTTTTGATGTCTTGTGTTTTATTTAGCCATACAGGCTTCTGCTTGGTGAATGGAAAAGGCAGGTCAAAGGCTGCTGTTTTGATTTAACAGTGTTATATACTGACTTTCAAAATGCTTTAATAATGAGAGTCTTATGAAGTATTCTAGTACATCTTAGGCATTGCTGTAGTATCTAATTTTTTTTCAGAAATGTACTGAGGCAAGTGCCTCATTTTTCAATGGTCTAGAGCAGCTTTCCTCTTTTATTACCTTGACATAAAGTTTCTTATTCCTTGTTCCTGTAGCACCTGCAGTAAGTCTCAGAATTTGATGTTTCTCTCTTGCAGCTCCACAGTGATGTCACTGCATTGGAAATGCATTTGTTTGCTATGTGTAGCAATGGCCTTATTCAGTCTCCAAAATGGCTCTTCCATACTCAGAGCACCTGCAAAATAAGAGAGAATTCATTAAATATGTGTATGCTCAGAAATACAAACGAAATTTGTTGCCTAGCTTGCTTGTGGTAAAGGCCCCAATTTACAAAGTTTAACACCATAGCTATGCTGCTTTCCTAAACAAGGAGGTGGTACCTTCTTCCAGTAGAGAAATTTCTTCAGCCAATGCAAAGGAGATTTTGTAAACTCTGGTGACAATTCTACATCAGTGAACACTGAGTGTCACAAACAGAAGCGACTCTGCAAAATTCACCTTATTAATTAAACAACCAAAATTTCAGCTGCATAATAAATTTTCAGTACTATTTATTTGATAAGGGCAAATGCTTCTGGGGATCTGCTGATGTACATATCATTACCTGATAGACATATTCTGACTTTATTCCGCACCTTCCTCACTTTCCCTCAATGAAAAAGAGAAAAAGAAGGCAAAAACTAAAAAATATGCCATGAATGTTTATATTATATTTATATGAATATACCAATAGTCTTGTCAACAGAGAAATTCAGCAGCTTATCCCTTACAATGAATGCCTGCCCGTGAACTGGAGCTGCATATGTGCACGTTTTCCATAAAAACAAACAAACAAATAAATGAAAACAACAGCTAAAGACTTACAATGACATTTGGAGAGTTTTAACCTTGATACTTTTCGTCCAATGAAGAGGTCCTATTTTGGATAGTCTAATTCAGTATTAGTTCTAAAACTAAATAAGAAGTGTCTACATTAACAGTGCTTCCCAGAGAGGAAGATAACAATAGCAAACAAAAAAGATCCTCAGCTCATGAAAACCAAGTTAAGATTTCCAATATTTTTAAGTCTGTGGAATTGAAGTCAGTGGGAAAGCTTTCATTGACTTCACAGGATTTAAACTGTATCATTGTACAGATAAACATTACCTGGTTACTTAAGAGCTTGGCATGCCAGTATTGTAAGAAAATACACAAGGTACAATTCTGCCCACTATGCTAACGGTCACACCTGCATGGGTGAGAACTGAGTTGGGAGAATGGAAACACTGAGGTTATTTGCAGCTGCACTAAGCCATTCAACTGATTTTCTGACCTGAATTCTACATTGCCCATATGCTGTTTCATAATTTATTTCACCACCTTAACTAGGAGGCACTGCAGTTGAGAGAAGGCAAGAAAACCTGTTCCTGAGCTCACGAACTGCAATGTACCTGTGAATAATCTACTTCCCAAGTCTCCATACAGGTCTTACCCCCAGTTTCCTCTCTTCTATCTGCATAATATGCTTTTTTTTCGTTTGTGCTCCTTCCTGGAGACCTGATGAAGAATACTCCTCTGCAGGTCTCATGCAATGCCTCCATTGTCTGCCAGCATATCCTGTTATACCCTGAGTTAACATAGTCACACAATAGGCCTGGGCATTTAGAATTTCTCCTATACTATCAACATTCAAACAGGAAAAGGCAGTTACTGAGTGCAGGAGTATGTCTCATTTATACCAAAAACCTGTCCTCTTGCTTCCAGGTGGCTATGCCCAAAGCAGAGCACAGGGTCACCAGAAACGTGGCCCTGGTTCTGAGGGAAGGCACTACTAGCCGGCCAGCTGCTCAGCGCTACACTGGTGCCCACGAGTTTCTGCTGGTCCCAGTCTGAACTACAGAGACCCTCCTGTGACACACAACATCAGACAGAGTACGTTTCTAACAGATGAACCAAGTCAGACTGTTTTGTTGGAGATGAACTTCACCTGTTGCTGCAATCTTATCACTGGGCACTTCAGTTATCTTACCATTCACAAAGATTAGGAAATAGCTTTTGGGAAATGAAAAACTTTATCTGCTGATATCTAACACGTTTTTAACACTGCAGGAGCAATTTTGAAGGAGAAAATGTACACTAATGGAAGAAAAGACTGAACTGCTCATTCCAAAGACCAGCAACTTTAGAAGATTTTTCCCTCGTTGCTAAAACAAGTTATGTCAGATAGGGCAGAGATACTGATATGGAAGTTAATGGCTATTAACCTCCAAGAACTAAAGGATAAGCAAGTAACAACAGATTAGATTACACAGGAATAGAGTTATTAAATTACTCATTTTCTAGGTTCTCCTCAAAATTTGTTAGGAAAAAACATCATTCAAAAACAAAAACTACAGAGCAATAACATGAAATTAGAAAATCAGTGAAATTCTTTCATATATATACTTCCAGGGCTGACAAAACTCTTTCTGGGAAGATGATACGAAAGTATTTCTATTTTAATTTTAGAACTTGGCAAAGTATTCATTTTTTAACAGGTAATCCAGAACACCTGATGTTCTTTTCAGTCTTCTAATCATGTTGGTGTAATTACTACACACACAACTATATACGTTAGCAACATTTGGGCTCCTGAATAATGGATCAGGGTGTGTGACAGTCAGCTGCCAATTAGATAGATTTATTCATGCCAGAAGAACAACAAAATACACATACAGAATAGTAGAAGCAAAAACTGCGGTAAAGGTCACTTGTAGACCTTTAATTGGTCATAGGTTTATGGAAGGTCATTTTTACACTTTATAGGGAGAGGCTTTCTATCTTGGCAAACCAAACACAGTCAAAGCAGAAACTCTGCAGACAGTCACAGTGGAGAACCAGCAAGCTTCCCTGGCAATTAAAGCTAGGAGCAGAGTGAAAAAAATGTTGTATTGCATCACTTGTATTTTATTTTGTCATTTTCTAGTGTTTAAATCACTTCAAGCAAAATTCATTACATTTGACCTTTTAACAATTTCACTTTCTGTTTGTTTCCAGCTCGCATCCTGGGATGAGCAACAGCCATTATTTTCCTGTACTATATCCAAAGCTCACAGAATAAACTGATGTAGTAACACAATTGTAAGAGGGCAGTCAGAACAGACAAATGAAGACCCCAAGGCTTCTAGTAGCCACAGGTTTGTGAAATAATTCCTCCCAGAAGAAAGCAGAACACCACTTTCATCCAAAGGGAAGCCACGTACTTTCAGAGATACGCACATTGGTCAGTATGAATTTGGAGACAGTAACTCGGTAGGAAGATGGTTAAAAGTACTTCACATTTCTTAGTACTTGTTTTTATTCTCTAAAACCATCTTTAAAATGCAGAGGTAATTAGCAGAACATAGTAAAAAATTCGTAGAAATTCTAATTTAAACTCCTGAAGAAAACAGATCCATAGGTAAAAGTACATCTCCATTTTTTCCTAAACTACACCATAGCTGTACCCAAGCACTTTACGCTTCCATGATAAAAAAAAAACCCTGTTCTTAAATACACTCAAGATGTAATTCATTAAGATAAAAATACTCTCTTAATAGAATTTAATAATATAAGCTACTCTGATTAGAAGGAAGAGAAGTAGCAGTAAGAGAGCTGCTCGAAAAGTAACACCTACTTTATTATGTTGGCCCATGATGTAACTGAAGGTCTGTAGTTGAACTCCTCCACGCAGAAAAGAAATTGCACATGCATTGATGCTGGCTGAATGTTTATGAAGACCAAACAGTGGATGTGAGTGCAGGAAGGCTTTGGTTGGTGCGTTTCAGCAGTGCTCACAGTGGGTCACCTCCACTGGTACAGATAGCTATGCGTGTGGCACGCAGACTCTTGTTCATTACTGGCAAAAAACACATAGCTAATGGTAGAGACTCCTGAAAAATATTGTTTTGTAGCTGAGAACGTGCCCTATCAAATAGTGTTATTATGCTCTTTGGATCTGTTGGAGTTTCCATGGAAATAAACAGGAGGCATCACTTTCAGAGCAACCCATGAATTTCAATTGCGGGTCCTTAGCTGGTGAGAACTTCACCCTGTTTGCTCACAAAGGCTGTCGTTACCAAACAGGCTCAAAAGGCAGAAGATTAAACACCTGACCATTACAGGTGTTGAAAACGCAGAGCTTTATGAAAACGCTAAGCATCGCTAAGTGTTATTTTCTGCCGGGTTCTTGCACTGTTTACCTATCTGTGTGAAAATATTTGAGCTCTCCAGCTTTTGTAACCGAGTTACGAAATGGTGTCTCGCTCTCACAGCTGTTAGTAGGAGGAATGCTTCTACTGCACGCAGCTGCCGTGACAAAGTCTAGCGGGTGCAAAGCGCTGCTGCCTCACAGCGCAGCGCCAGGCGGAGCGACGGGCATCGCCCAGCTACCTGTAGCACCTCTCCAGAAACTGATGCCGCTTCGTCTGGGAACGTGAAGACGTTACGGGTGCTACAGGTAGGCGTAGTCCTACAAAAATGACCGAGTCTCTCCTTGAAAATAAGAAAGCTTTTAGTCTTACACCATGTAATCTCCTTCTTGCTCGCGTATTGCATCACTCAGATACACAAGATGTACGCGCCGCCACTGCTAGATTTTACAGCACAAACAGTAACTCTAGTCACTCAGCTTTGACGGCCCAAAATGGACGGCGCTGCTTACCCGCATTTACGGGCAGCGAAACGCAACGAGCAGCCCCTTCAAGGGCTTCCCCGCCGGGCTGCTGCCGCGTCACCTCATGGGCACGCCTGACCGCTTTCGGGAACAAAGCCGGGAGGGACCTCTGCACCAGAGCCATAAGCAGACGTGTCACTTTCTCAAGGACCGCTTAAAGGGCGCCTTACGACGTGGCGGTCACCACGGCAGCCAGCACAGCCGCCCTTCGACCCCTTCTCCAACGACGCCTGCCACCCACAACCCCCCAAAGCGCGCCGCCTTCTGAGGCGCGCATCCCCGCCTCCGGCAGGCGGGGCCGCCCACACCCGACTCAAAGGGGCGGGGCGCGCACACACCGCCTCCTGCGACCGTTGAGCACGCGCTGCGGCCGTTACACCGCGCGGGACCCCCGCGCATCGAACTCCCGAAGCCGCCCCCCCTCTTCCTCCGCCTCGCGCGAGAGAGTAGCGAACCCGTTCCGCGCAGGCGCAGTAGCGGCGGCCGCGCCTCTTGCGAACTGAGAGGCGGGGCGCGCGGCCGGCGGGGGAGGTGCCCGCGGGCCGAAGACCAATCGGAGGCGGCGAGCGGCGAAGGGGGCGGGGCCGGAGCCGAGGGGGGCGGGGGGCGGGTGGTGTCGGGCGGGCGCGGGCCTGGCGGTGATGGCGGACGGCGGGGATGGGCGGCTAAGGACCTCGGGGAGCGGCGGCGACGGCGGCGCGGGGGAGTCGGCGGGTGGCGGGATGTTGCTCTACGTGGTGCTGTTGGTGTTGGTGCTGCTGGCCGCGTACCTGCTGTATCTGCGCTGGAGGAAGCGGAGCGGGCCGGGGGGCGCGGCCCAGCAGAGCCAGGCCGCCCTGCTGCCGCGGATGAAGCGGCGGGATTTCTCCCTGGAGCAGCTGCACGAGTTCGACGGGACCCGCAACCCCCGCATCCTCCTGGCGGTCAATGGCAAAGTCTTCGACGTGACCAAAGGCAGCAAGTTCTACGGGCCCGGTGAGCGTCGTGAAGGGTGGGGGAGGTGGGAGCGGCCCGGCCGGGCCCGGGGGAGTCGAGGGGGCGGCGGTCCGGGCGCTGCGAGGAGCGCCCTGCCGGGCCCGGCGGTGCCATGCCGAGACACGCCGCCTCACGGGTGGTTTTTCAGCGGCCTGAGGACGCGCGACTGCGGTGCTTTAATCGTTTTTCTCTGTTTCCGCCGGTAGGTTTGCCACGTGCAGCCGAGCGGCGCTTCCTGCCTTCTAGCTGCTACAGCTCAGGGAGGAGTAAAGCCAGCTGGTTGCTTACCTAAAGGTGCAAGTGACATAACAGCAGGAGTTGTAATCAGGATGGAGGCGAGCAGGGGGAGCTGGTGGGCTGACTGTGCCGACACCAGCTAGGTGTGTGCGGAAAGCAGCCTGCTCTCTCAGGCAGAAAGGTAGACAATAGGGTTCTTTAGTGCTGAAACGTATCTTTCACACATAAAGAAGTGTGCGTCAGAGCCAACGTTAGGTTTCCGTGCTCGCTGTGTGGATCCTTTAAGAGGAATAAATATGCATGGTTTCATGTAATGAGTTGGGCAAGTTTGCTGAGCTGTGTGTGCTAACACAGTGTCAAAGGAAGTGAGAGTTATGGCTGCTGCTCATTTTCTTCCTGAAACAATGGTGGTTTGGAAAACCGGATCTAATCAAATTACTCAGGAGTTTTTCATAGAAGGTGTGACAAGTGCCTTTGTATGAGGGCGGAGGAGAGAGGATGCTGTGTTTTTTTTTCCCTAGGAAATAGATCAAGTTAGATGGCTTTTTTGTATTTGGTTTTGTTTTTAAGTCATAGGTTATAAAAATAAAAAACATAAAAGTGCAGTGCTGCAGGTGTTTGGTCCCAAACTGTGACAAGCAGTTGTACAACTGAACCATGCTTGTGCTCTTGTCACGCTCAGGGGATCTGATACCAACGCTGCTGCCAGTCACAGAAACGGAAGTTGCCATAAGTAAATCAAAATGCTTTCTGTTTGGGTATTGGAAAAGCTAGCACTAGGCTCTGAGCTGTGCCTGGATTACACCTGTTAATGAGTGAAGCTGAGAAGATACAGTCTGGTGTGCTGCAGCTTATAAACACTTACTTAGGAAGTTCTTTTGTCTCATGCTTTAGGGATTTTTAAACTGAGACCTGTGTGCTGATAGAAAAATACAGGTAAGGTGAATCTCTTGAGGTTCAACTAATGCAAGTGCAAGATATTGCACCAAGGTTCTGGCAGCCCACGCTATCTGTACAAGCTGGGGGATGTAAGAATAGAACTCTGCTGAAATGATCTTGAGGGTACTGGTGGATGGCAAGTGGACATGAGCCAGCAATGTGCTCTCATAGGCCAGAAAGCCAACTGTATCCTCGGCTGCATTCAAAGAAGCGTGGCCTGCGGGTGGAGGGAGGTAATCCTGTCCCTCTGCTCTGCGCTGGCAAGACCTCAGCTGAAATTGTGCATCCAGGTGTGAAGTCCTTAGTACAGAAGAGACAAGGACCTGCTGGAGTGTGTCCAGAGGAGGGCCACAAAAATGAACCAAGGGATGGAACACCTCTCCTACGACAGCAGGCTGAGAGAGCTGGGGCTGTTCAGCCTGGAGAAGGCTCTGGATATATACCTAAGTGTGGTCTTTCAGTATGTAAAGAGAGGCTCAAAGAAAGAAGGGGACAGACTTTTTAGCAGGGTCTGCTGTGACAGGACAAGAGGAAATGGTTTCAAACTAAAAGTGGGGAGATTTAGCTTGGATATGAGGAGGAAGTTATGTTTTTGGTTTTTTTTTTTAAATTATTTTTACAGTAAAGGTAGTAAGGCAGTAGAACAGGTTGCCCAGAGAGATGGTGGATGCTCCATCCTTGGAGACATTCAAGGTCAGTCTGGATCAGGCTCTGAGCAACTTGACTGAGCTGCAGGTATCCCTGATTATTGCAGGGGAGTTGGCCTTTAAGGGTCCCTTCCAACTCCAGTGCTTCTGTGTTTCTTATACACAGATTAACAACACGTGTGCACGTGAAACTTATAGCACCAGTCTGAATTGATAGATTTCTTCAAAAATTACCCCATGAAATAACATTGAATCACAGTCTGAACATTAATTTTGGCTGTTTTGTGTAACAGACAATTTCTGGGCTGTTCCCTGTAGATACTATCACTGCTTTGCATCCTCTGCCTCTGGAGGCCCATTGCTGTGAAGAAACTAAAGTTGGTGTTTAAGGACATCAGCCTGCTTCTTTGATAAGTACCAGCAGCTGGTTTCCCTAAAGCACTGCATCCTGCTTTTGTGTAGAGGGACGTGTGTTCTGTTTGTTTTTTTTTCTTCCTTGTTTTGAAAGATGCCTTTTAATAACAGGCCCAGTATAATTTTCTTCTGTCGGATCTTTGTTATGTGTACACATTTAGAAATTGGTGCTCAACCTATCCATCAGTTCTGTACTTTCTATCACATCATGCTGATGTGGTCAGTCTGTGTGATGCATGTCGAGTAGTATTTTCTTGCAATTGTTTTCTGACCAGGAAGAAAAAAAACTAATGAGTGGTTGGAGGTCTTAAAAGATCTGAGAAGAGTTAGGAGAAGTCTTCAGCTTTTAAAGCTGCACCCCTCCACAGGGACGTCTGTCACAGTAACCAGATGTCTGCAGAAGCTTCCTTGGTAATTCTGTGCTTCATAGCTGGAGTACAGCAGAAGTGCAAAGCTTACCGACAAAACGATGGTGAAGTTCTGTTAAACAGAAGAAGCAGTTGAGAGCACTGACTTGGCTGACAGCACAAGCTTGGAATGGGAGCTGCTTGTGTTTTGTTGAGGCACTGGAAAGTCTCTTCTTTTTTCACAATAGGATGCAAATGGATGCAAATCTTACTTTGGTACTTTTCGCATAAGGTTAATACATGGAATTGTCTCTAGCCCACATTTTTGTCCAACAGGTGAGATTCCATTGAAAGTCTTGCGAAGCTCTTGACTTTATTAGCAGATCTGCTCTTTTTTTAAATTTCTGTCACAGAATCCTGGTATACTTTGCTCTGTTTCAGTGAAGAGCCCACTGAAGATCTACAGTTAAGATCTAAGAGAGGTGGATAGACTGTTAATCTCATCCTTTCAAACAGCCATGGTTGAAAGTTTCCATTTCTTGAACATTTAATCAGAATATCTTCCAATTTTTTTTTTAATGTTGACTCTTTTAAGCTTTCCACAATTTATCCTAGTGGTAATTAGTCTTTGGTAAGTGGTGCATTTCAGGTGAAAGCAGGAAGTTTGTA